TTGCACCCACCGGGAGCAGTCTGCTGGAACTCTTACTCTGCTATGAGCTCTGAGCTCACTTGTATGGGGTCTGCCCAGAGTCCCTGCTTTTAAACACTACCAGAGCTTGGTGCTCTTTGCTCTTCCCTCCCTTCTCCCCTCTCCCCACTGCTGAATTCAGCCTCAAGCAAAGGGGGAGATGGGATGACCAGTGGCAGCATGGAGCTTCCTGAGCTGAGTGAAAGCAAGGGCTGCACATTGTGGGACATTTCTCCCCTCCTTTCCCCTGTTTCTGAATTCAGTGGGAGGGGAGAGTGAAGAGCAACAGGCTCCAGAGCTGTTTGAAAGCAAGGAACTCTGGGCAGAGCCTGTGCTGACCAGTAGCAAACTTATTAGAGCTCACATCACATCATACAAAGCTCCCAGCAGGAGCTGCACTGAAGTGCCTGTGAGCTCCAAGAGCTGACTGCATATATGGAGCTCAATAGTGACTCATTCAAGACTATTGAGACATGCTGGAAGTAGTTCAATTTATTTCTTGGATAGAAGTATGATGTAACTCCAGGATTGGATTGGAAGGATTCCTGGTTGAAAAGTCTAGTCCCATAGGGAAATCATAAGTCAAAATGCACAGCCTTGAGCGGAAGTAGTGTTTAGGGAACAAGGGGCTTGTTTATATGTTTTGCATTCTGGTGTTCTTCATTACTTAATCAGGGATGGTTCTGGCAAAAGCAGTGCATCCACTCTGCCTTGTTATTCCATGTTCAGTGGTTTGTCATAGAATCATAAAAAATGAGGGTTGGCTGGGACCTCAGCAGGTCATCTAGTCCAATTCCCTGCTCAAAGCAGGACCAGCCCAAATTAGATCATTACAGACAAGGTTTTGTCTAGCCAGGTCCTTTGACTTACTGTGCCTACACCACTCATGGGACAGACATGCTTCAAGCTGTGCAATGTTCCATTTTTAAACCACTGCCAGAATGGGAAACATGCCCAGACATCTATGTAGAACTTGTCCCCCAAACTTTTAGTGCTGGCACACTTGCAGTAGAGGCACATCACCATTATTTGCTTTGTACCCCTCATTATTGGTCAGTAAGGTGTGGACATTCCTTCACTAATTGGGGCAAAATCTACATCTCTAATATGGAGAATATCCATAAATAAAAGTTCATTTAGCTTTAGGAATTATTGGTCTGCTCTTAGTAGGGAGTGCACAAGAGATCATCAGTTTGTGGACAGATGTTGAGCTGCTAGTAATACATGTGTAACCTAAAAGGTGCATTCCTAAAGATAAAGAATAAACTTGTGGTTAAGGCACTGAACTGAGATTTCAACTACCTGGGTCCAGTTCTTCAGTTTCCATTGCAGATTTCTTATGTGGCCTTAGCCAACATCCTGCACCTTCCCTTCCGTCAGTGGGGGGGGGAAGAGAAGTGGCATGTAGTGCAGGAGAAGCAGCCAGAGATTCATTGCTCCTGGAGATGTTGGCTTGCCACCTTTTTTTGCCTTTGCAAACTGGTACTTTTTTGGTTGCTCGACATGTTAGCTGCAAAAAAACTGGAGATGACCTCTTTCCCAGCAGCGAACCTCAAGTTGCTGCTCTTGTTCCTCTGCAGCTGCTCAGGTCTTCCCATTGCCGGAGCTGGAGCCAGAGCCAGAGCAAGCTCCAGATCAGGGGAGGTTCAGGGTGGGGGCAGTGTCATATTGCCCAATGCACAGTACTGCCCAAGTCTTTTTAGACTGTAAACTCTTCAGGCTAGCAGATATTTTTTATTTATTATACCTAATACAGTAGGACCCGAGTTTCAGTTGTGGGACTCTACTCATGATTGTTATACAAACAGTATGACACTAAAAAGGAATGGGAAAAGAGAGATGGTTTTAAAACAGTAAAGAATAATTGAAAATTGGGGGACTACACAAATGCTGTGTGGACAGCAGCCTTCCATTTCATTTCCTTACAGACTTTTGTTGTTGTTGTTTTGATTTGACAGATGACATACTCCTAAAGTATGAAACAGAAGAGGAAGAGCACAAATATGACTATGTGGATGAAAACTTAATTGAAAACATCAGAAAAAAATTCCAGGAAGGCACATTGCATGATAGAACATACATCCCAAAGAAGAAAAGGGGAGGTGAGTATGTCCTATGGTGACTTACACATGTACACAGATGCAGCATAACATGCCATAGGTTTGATAGGAATCATCATTGGTCATGAAGCTGAGACTCTCTACCTCAGTAGTTTCAGAACAACTCAGGGAGAGCAGAGCTGCGGCCAGTACTACGATGTGTGACTTGCTGTCTCTGTTAAAAATTACAGCTTTGTAAACAGACACCATCTAATGCATAATTGAACATTGACTTTTATTAACTAACTTTTACAAACAGTAGGACTATTTTATGTTCCCACACCAGTAGTTCTCATCCTTTTTAGATTTAGGGTACTTCTCCATAACTATTTTGAATTTGGTGGCACTCATGACAAACTAGTGTCCTTCAGCAATATGAAGGAGACTTAAACTGAGAGTCAATGGGTGCCTATACATGTACTCAGAGGCAGGGAGGGCATTTTAATTTTAAATATTAAATACATTTAGAGTTGTTCCTGGAGAACTGCTCTAATTAAAACACCACAGTGTCACATGTATTAAGCCCCTGTGTGTTTAAAAATGGCCGTTGGACACATTAACCACATTAAAGCTTATTTGATGAGCTTTAGTTAAAGCACCCCATAAGCCATTTTTAAACTCTCAAGGCCTTACATGCGACACTGTGGTGATGCTAACGCATTCTAATTAGAATGTGGTGCAGATCCGATGCATTCTAATTAGAATTCTAATTCTAATGTGTCAGAGCACATGTATACGTACCCAATGAAACTCAGGGAGGCACAGTTTTAGTTACCCCAAACCATCAGTTCCACCTAGGCACAAGTAGTATATATACCTAGAAGTGAGTGAATTGTTTCTGGTACAATGGTTTCTTACCAAAATCTGCATAGCCATATTAACTCAAGCATTTAATGAAGTTGGGTTGCCTCAGCCAAACTGTCTTTGTCAAAAAAGTTAAACAGAAAAAAATGTGGCCAAAAAATGTTTGTTTCAACATTTTCAAAACAAAACCTTTAGATTTGAAGGGATGATGTGTTTAAAAATTAACTTCAATTTCTTAAAAAAGACACAAAGTGTTTCTGTTTGGGTTGAGCCAAACATTACATTCAATCCAAAGTGAAAGTTTATTTGATTTTTCAGGATTGACAGCGAACCAAAAAAATCAGTTATTTGCTCTGCCCTACTTCTGTCATTAATTTGAGGTGGAGCTGGATTCAACTGTGGTGAAATAGGAGACAGACCTCCTAAACTTCTCTATCTTCTAATACCATTTCTTGTTTTCTGGCTTTCCCTCCTGGTTTCTCTTTCATGCAGTTTTCTCTTAAGCCAATACAAAATGCAAGGACTAATTTTTTTTTATTGAGAACTCTTAGGGATAGAACTTTTCCTTTTATCCATGTGCCTGGAGATCTGATAGGCTGAGCAGCAGTTATTATATTCCTCACTATAACTGGTAATAAAACGTTCTGGTTTGTTCCAGTTCCTATAGCTATATATGGGGTAGATGTCTGAAGGTATCTACCCCCTTACTGGCAGTGGATATATGGGCTGCAAATGAATCCTGCATTTCCTATCCTCATGCCTATGGCTGGTTTTCATAGTACCAAATCCTCTTTTCTCTCTCTTCCATCATTGTAGCTTTCTGTGACCCCTGTGCCTGTGCTGTGATAGTCTCACATGACATGGGAGAAGAGGAGCTTGGAGGTAGTGAGTGCAGACAGCTTGGAGTCAGCTATGTGCTGAACAGAAGACTGGGGAAGAAGGGTCATAAAAAGTATGAGAGACTGGAGATAAGACTGTAGACAAAATGTACAGTACCCTGCTAGCCAGAACTGTGTTCAGTAATGATTTTGGCAAACATGGATGTACTGTCCTATAGACAGGGCCTAAGAAGGCATTGTAGAGTAAATTAAACTTGCCAGTTAAAAAGGAAAAAAAAAGGACCTTGGCTTTTCACCTACAGGTATCCAGACAGAATGTTCCTTCAAGAGAGAACATGAGCCTGAGGGCACAGCCTCTAATTATATCATTTACTGTTGAGACATCAGCTCTTTTAAGTCTTTATTCACCTGCCCTTTAAACTCCTTGTCAACACAGAAAGGGTTGCACTTTATTAGTCATCTGGTTTGATGGCTTTAGCAAAAGCATGAAAGAGAAGACCTTTGCTGTCTCTAAGGAGATCTCTGTCAGAGCTTCAGATTATGAAATAGACCCATAAATTATCTTCTTCCATGGATGACAAGAGTAGCCCACCCTGTTGAAGATCATTAGATAGCCTAAGAATGTGTAACTCTCCTAGTTGGTTGAGTCTCCTCTTGACCTTCAGAAATCTTTCAGCAGGCTTTTATTTAGCATCTACAATTTCTTCTAAGCTTCTGCATGTGCAAGTCAGCATGTGTGCATGCAGGAAAATATGTATTTGATTTATATATGAAGATTTATGGTTTGTGTGTTAAAAAAAAAAAAAGTTTCCATTAATTCTAGTTATAAGGGGCTGTTCTTAACATATGCCCCTTGAAGTTGTGCCACTGGGCTACTGGAACTACAAGTGAATTAGTTATGTGAGCCTTTATCAAAAAGATGATTAAGTGAAAGATATACAGGAAACAATGGTATTCCTTTCTGCCAAATGTTTAATTTCTTATTACTGTAGTTATACCATAAGATCCCTTTCCCATTACTTATCTCCCACTCACCCTTTCAGGACTAAGTGTCATTCATTAATCTCTTCCTTTGTTTTTTAAAGGTTATTTACACTATCCATATCCAAGTGAAATTCATAAATACAAATCACATACCAGCACATCTGTTATAAAATACTTAGGCACTCAAATAGAAGTAAAGCATTGCAATTTAGCCCAGGTTTCAGCTTCAACCCTCAAAGGAAAACAGATTTTAAATCTGTATTTATTTTTGTTTATATTTCAGTAGCTCCTTGATAACTCTCATCAAGATCAGAGCCCTGCACAAACATATCATAAGAGCCTCTGCCCTATAGAGCTTACAACCTAAGTAAGCAAGATAAATGAAGAGAAAAAGAGGCAAAGTGATTTGCCCAAGGTTACTGCTATGCTAATTTCAATGCAGTAAAGGTCTCCAGAGACAGTCTCTAGTATTAACATGACCTTCTCCCTGTACTCCACTAAACAATTAAATGAGATTCAGGATTCTAAGTACAGGGACTTCAGCTGGCAACAGCCCCCACTAAAAATCTTTTAAGCTTTTTAGTAAAGGTCCAGGAAAAGAAGGAAAAGGCAGTGAAACCATTTGTAATCTAAAGTGCAGCTCAAATTTTTGGGAAATATAATACCTTTTTCTACATTGAGGTATTATAAGGAAACCCCTCTGTCAGTCTCTCTTAAATATTTTTATGCATGGTATTAGCTGTCCATTTTGGTGGGAAAGAGGACATTAACTAAGAACTGGACCTGTTGTCATTGCTCTTAGTCTCATCCTGGTTCCTTGAAAGAAAATAGACACTAGCACACATACGCACCCACAAGCAGACAAGGGAAGCAAAAAAACAGTAATGAGAAAAAAATGCAGCATCTGTCTCTTACTTTTAACCTCACTGCTGCAGAAGGGTAGGCATAGATGGCATCCTTATTGGCGTTCTGTGCTGCGGGAGGGGAGGACACAGCTTGGTTGGAAAAACACTGGGTGTAGTAGATGCTGTTGTATAAGCAAGAAGTATTGTTGTTGGTCAAGCTTATTCCATTTGTTGAACTGACTTAAGCTGAACTTGCAAATGAACTGTTGTGCTGATACAAGGTGCAGCACCACAGGGTGGAAAGAGTGACCAGCACAGTTCTACCAACATTTCTGCCTTATAGACAAGCTCTGGTGTACAAGAGCTCCTTTTCCTGGCAGCTGCAATTAATGCCATAACTAAGGGTGGGCAATGGAGGCACAAGCCCCAGGTGCTGAGTAAGAGCCAAGCATAGGGGATGTGCTGGAATCGAAGTAATTCTGCTGCTAGTCCAGCAGCTACAGCCTTGGGCCATATGGAGAGGAGCTAGGAATTAGGTAGTGATGTCAAAGAGGCTCTCAAGTCCTGGCAGGTAAGTTCTGCGGGGGGAAAGAGGCAGAGGGTCAAGACGGGGGGGAGGTCATCCCACCACAGAATTAGGGGTTGTATTCCTCCACTCAGCATGCCATTCTGTGGCACCTTTGGGGAGCAGGTGAGAGATTTAACTCCTTAGCTAGGGGACCCCTTCTGCCAGATAGATGTCAGGATCCAAGAGCTGCTCTGGCTCCACCCTGGTCGTCTTCTCTTCTCTGTGGAGATCCCCTGGGTCCTGGACACTATCTGGAGCCTCAGGTTGCCCCGGACAGCAAAGGAGCTTGCTAAGCCTCTGATGGTTGTAATCCAAATGTAAAAGCTTCTAGTTTCATTGTCATTCTTTTGTTTGCTTGCAGAAAAACCTGAATAATACTGAAGTTCACCAGACATGACTGCAAATCTGCATGCGTCATACAGAGAGACCATCCATAGCTACAAGAAAAGTCAACTCATGAATGAAAAAGTGTTCTTTTCTGTCTCATGAAGATCATTTGAGCCCATAATTACATATATATATATATGTATGTGTATGGGGGGGTGCACACGCGCGCACACACATGTGAAATGGGCCGTATTTGATTTGGATTTAGATTCAGATTTGGCCCAAATCAGGGACAGTGATTTGAT